AGCTTGTGTGCGGACCACATAGCACTCCTTGAGTCTGACACCGTGGTTACGCAAGAGCTAATGAATAAGCTAACTCGTGGCGCTGCACGTTTAGACAAGTGCTCTGTATTTTAACTGCACAAAATATTGTCGCAGAGCTAGAAGTGGTGTATGAGTTCACTTACCTTGGTAGCTGCGTCACTTCAGATGGTCACATTGCTAAGTTACCTCGTGAGGGTTTTCGGCAGTTCGACCAACTATGGAGACGCCGGGATATCAGTTAATCATTGGGATGTAGACGGTTACGGTGTGGATCACAGACGTTACCAGTTTGTAGTAAAGACAGTTAACGATTGGCCGACCTTGCTCACCGTTGCTTGCTGACTATTGGTCAATCTGATGAAAAGATCTGGTAAGCAATGCTGAGGTTCACCAGCTGGTCTTTAGCAAGAGCAATCTGGTGCCTCATTAATGTTTGCTTAAGCGCAACTGTTTGCTAGATTAAGTTTCCCGCATGCCTGTTGACCAGCTCCTTCGGCGCACATTATACGCCGTGATCGCACCAGGTTCGGAGAAATCGAGAGGTGGCCAGCCCATGATGTGGTGTAGAGCTATGAAGAAACTGACTAAGAGACTTGGTCAAGCTGTTCGCATGCAGTCTTCACGGATGGTCAACAATAGTGGCTGCGGAGTGTATCAAACATGGAGCAGACATTCCTTCACTCATCATCATCATCATTATACATGTCGGCTAGAGGTGATAAAACACCTCCGCTATTGTACCGTTGCGTCTAATTGCTGATTTGCATTCTGTCACGATTAGATCTCCGCAAGTACTTCTTGATCACATAATGTCTGTATTCTGTTTGGGTTGATCTTCGTTTTCTCACTGCAGTTATGACTTGTAATTCCGGCAACGAGAGTCATGTAGTGGAACAAACCGACCCTATTTTTGATGATGTCCCAGGTGCACTGAGAGCTATTCTTTACCAGGTTGGACAATGTTTAGAGGTCAGGGAGGTTTGAAATGGGATGGTGTACATCACTGTAAAACCAAATCACTGCCATCTCCTCACTGCTTTGCGGGCAGGTTTTTAAGCCAAAGTTGTTGGTTGAGGAACAAATCGCTCTCCTGCCTAGGTTTAAACGTCATGGCAGTATCTCGGCCCATATACAGCCCCAACCATTTCCTCAAACTTTAACCACATCCTGCATCGGCCACCACGCATCTTTACTAGGTTCGCTTATCTGCTTCATACAGTACGGCGGTTAAGCGATAACAAGCTACTACTGGGACCTCCCTCCTTTCTTTACTACCTTTATTCTCTTACTTCCATCTCGAATCACTTTACTAAGCTTCGTACTATAATTCCCAGCGTAATTGAAAGCAATCGCAATGCCACTACAGTTTTATCCACACAGGACCCGCGGGATGCTTATCGGCAACAGACCCTTAGTTGGTCACGCTGTCTTGTCTCCCTGGCGGTGTGCAAAGTTCGTACCTAAGATAAACAGGTTAACAAGCTGCTCTCATACGCACATTGGACACCCTGGGTATTGACATGTGTTGTGTGTCCGAAACTAGAATCAACGAACCTCATGAAGGTTGTTGAACTAACTGGACTTGCTTCGTGCTCTCGCTATTGGTTGTACGTATTCAAAGGCGCAGATGTGTTAATCACTAATCGACCTTTGATGGGCGTCGTTCTTAACTCCAACGTTGAGTCATCGTTGGTTGACTGGATTCCCGTGAGTAGCTGTTTGTGTGCAGTCAATTTCACGCCGTCAACTAAGGTTGATTCACTAAGTAGTACAAGACGCTGTTCGTTTATCGTTTCCGCTTATGCCCTCACCGACTTCATTTCTGGTGCTACCAGGGATGTCTTCCGGCCCGAAGTGGATACGCTGCTTTGCAGCACTACCAGTTCAGATATCGTTGTTGTCGCGCGTTAGCTGGCTGAGCTTTACAGAAGTTCAGCTAGGCAGTAAGTAAGGTTAATTACGACCAGATGGATAGCGGTGGTCACCTGTTACAACTGTGCGCGGAACACCGTTGTTAGACATGGTGAGCGCCGAAGTGTCACTTGGCGTTCCCCTATAGCTGGCCAACGATGGATTCAAATAGATCACAGTGCCATAAGTTACAGTTGGCGTGGAACTAAACTGTATTGTCGAGCGTTATGGAATATATACGTGGAACCTGATCACGTTTGGGTACGGTGTCAGTTTTCCATAAAGTTTACCAGTGGAAATACAAAGCGCCACCCACGATTGGCAACTGAGAAGTTACCTCCACGCAGGATACGCTGCGTACGGAAGTTACACCCTATCACTCTAAGAAAACAGTGTCAATGGAGTAGAATCTCTACGGCCATGTACGACGCACCGCATCAGTCCCTGGATATCTGAGAGGTCCGCGAACTTGTTGGATTCGAGAAGAAAAATCCCGGCTGGCTCTGAGCACAATGTGACGAGACAGACTATTAGGTGCGAACTAAATCCGAGCCTGTGTGCTGAGAAGGAAGTCTGGTGGATCAGTCCGGATAGGAAATGGAGGAAGGAGTGGTAGGGAACCAACGTAAACTTCCAGCTGATCCGCACCCCTGGTCCCAGAAAACCAGGAGTCATTGTGAGAGTCAGAGAGCGAGCTGATACAAAATGTTTCGTATGACTCGTTGGGTGGAGCCCTTTCGAGGTCAGTTCAGTTGTCCCCAGTTTCCGGATTCCTTCCCACTCAGGTAGTGCAGGCTGGAACATGGCCAGTTAGTCTAAAAGCATCATCAGAGGCTGAGGCCAGAAACAAAAGCACAACCCTCAATCTTTTGATTGCTGCTGGCACAGATTCTTCGCACTCGCAGTATTTAAGGATGGTGGTGAGGTCCTCTGCAAAGCGCTGGTCTGGCTATCCGAACAGGTCTAAAGGGAAGAGGTCATTCCAGGTAACTGGAGTGAATCGATTATGAAGGCGATATACAAGAAGGCCAGCCGCACTGACTATGTTAACCACAGGGGTATTAGCCTAACGCTGGTTGTAACAAAAGTACTAGCCTCAATGCGAAACCGTACTCTCAGATTAGGGAAGAGCAGGCAGATTTCCGCCCAAGACGTGGCTGTATAGACCATATGTTCACTTTGCGGCAGGTGCTTGAGCAGCACCACGCATACCGCAGACCGACAATAGCTGTATTCCTCGACTTCAAGAGTGCATTCGATTCAGTCGATAGATCTATTCTGTAGGGAATACTTGTGAAGAAAAGTGTTCTAATGAAATAGGCGAACATGTCGCGTGCTTTATACTCGAACACTACAGGCCGCATCAGGATCTACAGTAATTTAGCAGATATTGTTCCGATAACAAATGACCTTCGTCAAATTTGTCAAATTTCCCCGTTTTTGTTCAACTACAAAGTGGACTTTCATGCGGAATCTCATGATGTAGGTGGAAAATGTATTGGTCTTGATAGTGCGGAGAATAACGTTTTGCAATTTAGTGATTTTGGGGTAATTCAGTCAGTCCTGGATAACCTCTTAAGAGTGATCTCAATCTGGCATGCGCTTCGCACCTTCAAAGTGCAAAATATTGCTGCAGAATCACCAACCCCTTGATGATCGTTAAACCATTGACAGCGAGGAACGCCAGGTAGTTGATCACTTCACCTACCTTGGCAAATGTATCAACAACGATGGGTGGATTGCTACTGACGTCAGTTCACGTACTGCAAAAGTTAGAACTGCAATCTCGATCCTGTAAGATATGTGCCGCCAGAAGTGAGTTTTATCAGTCTGTAAGGCCTTGTTTACAAGGCCACAGTGAGGGCCGTTCTGCTGTATGGTAGTGAGACTTGGCTCCTTCAGTCTGATGATCTGAGGCGCCTTCAAGTCTTCGATCATCGTTGTCTGCAGAGCATTTCTGGTGTCGGATGGCACCAGCGTGTCCACAACGATGATGTGCGTAGGCGAGTACTAGGCAGTGATAACCAGGCTAGTTCCTTAGAACAACAGATAGCACTGAATGAGTTACGTTGGCCTGGACGCGTACTACGTATGTCTGGTCACTGCTTATCCAGAGGGGTCTTGTTTTGTTTGCGAGATGTAGGATAGCACAAGGCTTGAGGTGGACAAAAAGTAACTTGGCATCGGAAAATAAAGCTACTGATGAGCCAACCGGGTGCCGTTGGTCCGTTTCGTATTGCAGACTGGAGTCCACGCGGCTCACTTTGTTTTCGGCTTGAGACGTTACAGGACAAAGCTCTCAGTAAACACCAATGGTGCGTCTACTGTCGTCTCGTAGTCGAATTGCCAATTTAATGTGTGTGTTTGGTGTTGAGCTATCTGCGGGGAAATGGCTGATTATGGTGCTAAACAATGAAAGCTATAAGAAAGCTGTCTCACCAATGCCATTTTATCTCTGCATGATAACCAGCTGTTTGTGACTATATGCTGTTGACAAGGTGTAGGCGCTTTGATCCTGAATGTTTGTTTGGGTCATTAGGACTTTAGGCTAGATCTCCCCTCTCTACCTCATATCATTCTTCTAACAGTAGATCCTTGAAGCTGTACGATAGAGAAAGATCAGTTCAAATGGCTTATGTCCGCTGTTGTTGATGACTATGGTGACGTGAGTCGTGACAACTGCACTCACCGCCTGACGGTGTCCAGTTGTTTAAATGAACTGAACGAAACAGTTTTTTCGGGGTTCACAGAGGAAATTAATGGTACTTCACAGGAATTGGTTGACAATATCGACGTAGACAGCGAAAAATAAGGAAACACAATCGCCCACATTTAAATAGACAAGTCGGCTTCATTTGCAGCCCTGAAAGGTTCGATATGCAAGAAAAGCCGGCGTCAGCAGTACGCCGGCACATAGTACTGACGCTCCGCTGCTAAACGACTACTACCAGACGCGCGTGGACTGAATAGACCGCAAACTGACCCGCACCGACGCGGATTCGAACCCGGAGAGCGCGGGAGCAATTTGACTCCCGGCCGACCTACATGAAAACACCAAATTCACTCACGTTTATCAATTGGAAGTGCACGAGCGAACCAAAAACTCGCGGCGCTGTGAGCCAGGAGGGCATATGCGAAAGTCAGGGCAACCAAGGTTAGTTGTACACCATCTAAACAGGCGGAAATTCGGTCGAGGTCTCCAGCTCCGTCGAAACCAATAATCCAAAGAAAGTCCAGTGCAGTTAATAAAAATATCAAGGAAGCAAAGAGTACTCGGTAAACATAGTAACTTCGGCCGACGCCACAGCATGTGTGCTGAAGAGAAATGAGAAAAAAGAAACAGATTTTAAAACCATATCTTGAAAGTGACAGATAAAAAGGGCGATAAGCTGACAGTTGTGTGGCAAACAGAAAAATTAATTAGTAATGAGTAGACTGATTTGGGTATGATTCGAGTTGATTCATCGCAATTAGATTTCAAGCCGCATAGACAAGCTACCAATCCGGAAAAGAACCAGAAGCGCGTTTCGCCCTATTGGGACTTGTCAGTGGTGCGCATCCATCGGTCCCCTACTGGGAATCGAACCCATGACCGCCAGAGGCTAACGCGCCTCTACCGTTGGCAATCATCGTAAGTTATTCCGTCTAATACGGTCAACAGGCAGCAGGAGACCTGTTGTTAGCGAGACCATACGGGACGAGAGTGGGCAGGCGATCCACAGCCTGTCAAAACGGTTGGAACGTTGGGCTGAACATATTGCAAGGCAATTTAACCAACCTGTTATTAATTCCTTTTTCGGGCATCGAGTGTACTTTCCCCTGCACCGTCTCCTTGGATCCGCCCTCACGCACAGAAGTCGAACGTGAGATCAGGCTGTTGAAGTTGCATAAGGCCGCAGGGGCAGGCAGAATTCCCCCAGCCCTCTTCAAATTCGGGGGACCTGCTCTAATAGATGATTTACACGAGTTGCTAGTGAAACTTTGGGAGCAGGAGACTGTCCCGACAGACTGTAACTGCTCCATCATTGTCCCAATTTGCAAGGGAAAGTCCCATTTGGAATGCGACAATCATAGAGGGATCAGTCTGGTCTCAATTGCCTCTAAATTGCTTGCCTCTGTCATTCTCCACAGAATGACTGGCACTCGTGAAAGCCAGATTTGTGAACAGCAAGCCGGATTGCGCCGAGGTCGGGGCTGCATCGACCAGATCTTCAGCTTGCGTCGATTGTTGGAGCACCGCCAAATTTATTGGCGATCCAGCGTTGTCGTGTTCTTGACATAAAAGGTACCTTCGACTCAGTTGACCGACGTGCCCCTTGGGACTGTCTGCAGAGGAAAGGTGTGCATGATAAATATGTAAACATAATCAAAGCGCTGTACGCGCATAGTTCGGGCAGAGTGAGGGTTTATGGCAAACTGTCGCCACCCTTCAGTATCACCAGACGTGTGAAACAAGCTTGCCCGCTGTCACCTTTCCTCTTTAACTTCGATATTGATGAAGTCATGGAAACAGCATTCGCTGGACACCATCTAGAAGGTGTGGGCCTATTTCCTAGTGAGCGATTTCTTGACTTAGAGTATGCGGACGATATTGCCCTAATCTGTGACAGCTCCCAAACGTGCCAAATAGCACTGGACCGATTGGCACTGGCTGTCAATCGTGTTGGGCTGTGCTTTGCTCCATCGAAATGCATTTCTTCTCCAACATTGCCAGGGACCCAACCCTGCGTTAACGCTTTGTGGTTATCTGTTAGAAGTCGTTCAGGCATTCAAGTACCTAGGCAGCTATATTAGCACCCGTGGGATTGAAGATGTGGTTACGAACCGTATAGCAAAAGCGCGAAGTGTTTTTGCCAATCTCCGCCACCTGTGGCGCACACGCGACATTACTCTCGCCCTCAAGGGAAGAGTTTACAACGCAACCGTCCGTTTAATTCTCCTATATGGTTGTGAAACCTGGCCCATCAGGTCGACAGAAATAAAGTGACTCATCATATTCGATCATCGCTGCTTACGCAGCTTAGCTCATTTGGTGGGAGCACCGCGTGAGCAATGAGCGTGTTCGGCATCGCGTATTTGGTGCAGAAAGAGCGAGTGAACCGCTCAGCACGATTATATCAAGCACCAGGCTCCGATGGTTGGGCCACGTGTTGCGCATGCCAGCACACCGGCTCCCGCGACGTGCCTTGTTTGCGCGTTGGGGGTGGGGTTGGAAAAAGAGGAGGGGAGGACAAGCGATAACTTGGTCGAGAGAGATGAAAACTCTCCCTTTGAAGTTAGCGTCGGTTGGTGCATCCCGACTGCCTGGTTGGGGTCTTAAAGATGGTGAACACATTTGGTTGAACACACTTGCTGATATGGCTTGGAGCCGGCCCCAATGGCGTTTATGTTGTGAGTTCCTTTGTCCATCCTCCTCCTGCTTGGCATCTCGTTCCAAGCACGATCTCACTCGTTAGGCATAATGTAACTCTGTTTTACGGCACGACAGCCAGCTGTCAGCTCTCCGGAACGATGTCCATCCGTTACAGCGGACTCAGCCGACGTGCCACTGTTTGTTTTCCTTTTCTTGTCCTTTGTATTGCGGCACAATAGCTGAGGTGTTAAAACTTCAGCTAACGTGTACAAAAAATGAGGCTAACACCAACTAGCCAGCAGCTTATGCCACTGAGCCATGGGGGACAACAGCCTAACATTACGAATTGAAACCTAACTGCGACATAGCCCGACCCATCCTCCACTGCTGTGCAGGTTATTGCCCGTGCAGAGGACAGTGGTTGACCGTCACGGTCAGGTCTTCCCTTGATAGCACCGTGGATCCACACAGCAACTTTGAATACTGGTAGGGCTTAGATTTTTGATTAGTAGTGAGTAGACAGACTTGGGTATGATTCGATTTGGTTCATGGCAATTAGGTTCCAAGCCACATAGGTAAGCTACCAATGTGGAATGGCACCAGACGCGCGTTTCGCCCGATTGAGGCTCGTCAATGGTGCGCCTCTATCGGTCCCCTACTGGGGATAGAAACCCATGACCGCTATAGGCTAAGGCCAAATAGCCAGGGGCTTATACCACCGAGCCATGGAGGACGACAGCCGATCATTACGAATTGAAAGCTAATTGCGATATAGCCCGACAAATGGAACCGTAGAGTACTGTGGAAACTGTTGCAACTCATTCAAACATCGAGACAACAGCCGATAAAGACGAGCAGCATGTCTAATTCACAGGATGCAACCTGTAGTAGTGTTAACAGCGTAGTAATGTTTCGCACTGATGTGCCGCTATTTTACAAAAGTGGATAGCCGCACGTAGGCAGGAAGATGGTTAAGGCGCACAAATGTAAACGGATCAGGAACTCAAAAGCTGGGCGCGGAGACTGAAAGTTAGACACCTGATCAATTGCATATTGGATCAGTTATCTGGTTTGCAACTTTAGATTCCAGGTTCGGATCTTTACTCTCACTTAGGTATAGACGTATTGCTACTAGGTCCCAGGCATTTTAATTTTAACAGCTGCATTCCTGAATAAGTGTCTGACATGTTGCTTTAACCTTACATATTGTTTTGAATCGCTCTAGCTAGCAGTAGTGATAGTCTAGTCAAAATAGCGTTTTTGTACCTTTACAAAAGATTTTATGCAACTTGGATGGAAGATGAATTCACACAATTTTCCCGCATCAATCTAAGCTTGGTCGAAATGCAGTAGGAACTGCTCGTGACATAAACAATGCCTTTGGTTTTGGAATCGCTAATGACTGTACTATACAATGATGGTATAAAGATGTCGAAAAAAGGCTTGAAAATGGAGAGCGCTGTGGACGGTCATCAGAAGTAAACGAAGATCAATAAATGGTCTAAACTGGAGCAGATCTGCGTAAAACGGTTCGAGATTTTGTGTTTGACTTAACAGTATCGCAACAAGATTGGACAATAGCGTAGTGCGATGGTTTGCTGGTGGTATTTTCCAAGTGCCTTCAGAGCCACTCATGCCAAACAGGTCAATGGTCAAGGGTAAGGCTGTCAGTCTCACAACCCGATTCTCTTTGAGGGTTAGGGAGAAGTTCATGGCCCCTTCCTTTAAAACCTAGCCATAGGAGACAACAGGTTCACGGGTTATAAGCCCACAGCTTGACTGGCGCAGAGCACAAGCGCCACGCATTGTCTCTGAAGGTAGGAGGTCGCCTTCTGATGCTCAATGTCTTGCTATTGCAGGCCGAAAACCAGTTAACCTCTGGTCAAATTGGTGCATACCACCAAATCTCACCTGCGGCTGGCATTCGTTGCAGGTGCGTAACATAGCACGGCCGTAAAACATATGTGCACTGTAATAAATCTTCAAATGCTGTGTGTGACAGACCTCAAGCAGATCCCAATGGGTCTCTGCAATCACACTCTCGAGCTGGACTTGTTCCACACTATCTTAAGAATAAGGCTGTTGAGCAAAAGGATCCGGGTGGGGTCCCTCAAGCAAACCTCCAAGTATCCCATTGCATTGTGGACTAGACTGTTGAGTCAAAAAGTTAGAGGTAGGGCACTTCGGACAAAGCCCCTTGCTCGAACTGGACAGCCGAAGTATTATCTGCCCTCGTGACCACTTCGACAATGCTCCCTCTTCTCATTATTCTTCTCTCTCCTCTCCCTACTTTATTTATTTATAAGCTACCCCATATATACGAGTTATGCACGTAAACCTTTCCGACAACGGTTGAGCATCGTTGTGGCACATCTTTACAAAGTAGACAACCCCAAAGGGCACATCGATTAACCGAATCGAAGGCATCTTTGATGCCGTAGAACATGACTAAGGAGCACAGCCAATATAAGTGGCGGTGCTTCAGTGATAGAAGTAAAGTGGTCAATGCGGTCATCACTTCGACGAACCCTGGTAGGCGTTTCAGGAATCTGGCATTCACAGTCGTTTGTCAGTCTGGGAAGTAAAACAGAGGCATTGATTGTAGGGGTTTGGAGCACTCGCCGTGTGTCTTTGATTACGACACGCCATCAAAATTGTGACTTCGATTGACTTCGAAGTCAGTCTCTGCCATTTCAGTCACTGGGATTGTATCCGAAGTGGAGGGTTTCGGTCTAAGTAATCGAAATGGCAGAGGCTGACTTCAAAGCCAACCGAGGCCACAATTGAAATTGCGTGTCGCAATCCACGACACACGGCGAGTGCTCCAAACCGCTGTGTCGAGCATTGTTTGCTGAGGTCAATGGCCTAGTGAGCATGGCGGTAGCCCCTAAGCACCATGCGTCAAGTTTCACTCCCAGATGATGAATTCAAACAAGGACGAAATGCGTTGAGCAGTGCAAAG